TTCCCTGAAGACGCAGCTTACCCTTTTCACGAAGAAAACCAAGCCTTTTAGTCCTACCATCTCTTTTGACAACGAAACGCTACTTCCTTCATCGAATATCTCTATTTTAGGCGTGTGCCTTTCATCAAACCTTAAATGGCACCATCACATAGCTAACATGGCCAAGTCAGCTTCCCAGAAACTAGGATTCCTCTTCAGAGCCAAACGTTATTTTTCTCCATCTCACCTTCTTTTGCTCTATAAAACCCAAATCCGTCCCTCTCTTGAGTACTGCTCGCATATCTGGGGTGAAGCCGCTCCTTCATCCCTCTCTATCCTGGACTCTATTCAAAAACGTGCTATCCGTCTCATCGGTGATTCAGCCATATCCTCTTCTCTTGAATCTTTATCCTCACGTCGTAACGTTACCGACCTCTGCCTATTTTATCGATACTTCCATGGAGAATGCTCAGATGAAATCTCTTCCCTCGTTCCCCCTATTTCGGTCCCCGCCCGTGTAACCAGAAAGAGTACCAAGCAGCATCCCTACTCTGTCCAACTTTCCTCCAATCGTACTGCTCAATTCGCCTCCACCTTTTTCCCCCGTACATCCCGTCTATGGAATGCCCTTCCCCCTCATGTCTTCCCTCCAACGTACGATCCGAAACTCTTCAAATCCAACACTATCCGCTCTCTCCCTTCAGGTAAAGAGCCATTAGGTTTTTTTAGTGGGTATTATGTACATGAGCCCCACACTCCGGTTGAATTTTCCACTCTTCTGGGTAGTGCGTCAATGCTATTTTTTCCTATGGCTCTTTCACCTTTTCCTCCTAGCTTCCCCCAGTCCCCCTCCCCCTTTTCGCACTCGCAGTTCCTTTTGTAGAATTATAGGGTCATCCCTTTGCGAGCTGCTTACACCGAAAAAAAAAAAAAAAGTTACGGATCGATGCCTGTTTCGATTCGGAGTTCGCTCAAACTTCTCCCTCGCTCTTTGTTTGCCTCTCTTCCTCTTACGAGTCCCTATCACGATTATCGAGCGCACCCATTGTATTAGTGCCGACTAGAGATATTATTGTCTGAGTTTCACTTGTGGACTGTGAACCCACACGGTTTCGCGCTGCAGCATCGTCACGACGCTCGGGAGCGATACGGTAGGCTCCAGTCCTTCGCTGATGAGCATTTTCATTGCAAACGTCAGGACCGAGTCTTGCGATCCCCCTGCCGTCCTGTGTTTTGAATATGTATCGACTGATTGAGCCCCGAGCTGTGTCAGGAGTCAGGAGACGATATGAATAGTGTAACGGATACGAAGGCTCTGAAGAACGGTCTCACTCAAGTTCAGTTTGTTCATTTCTCTTTTTTTATTGAAATAAAGTTTTCACTTCAACGCTCTCCGCTGTCAGAATCTAGAGTTATCCTCCTGAAGTTCAATCTTCTGACGGACGCAATATTTACAATTTACAGGTCATATCGGCTTGAGAGTCATCATCATCAATTCGATCATTATACACAACACGCGCGATCAGCAATTTCCGACCTAATTCGTCCAATTATTATCGGTCTCAGTTCCTCTCCTCTCCTGACGGAGGTACGAGGTCATTCAAGTGGTTGCGATATAGTGGAAATGACTGCTCACCCTTCGATCATTGATATTTACACGAGCTTGTGTACAAGAGAGCCTTTTGGCGAGCGATCAAGTTCACCTTCGCCTCCAGGCTCGCATCGACGAAAATATATTAGGAAACTTTCCTACGAACACCGATCACATACTTTTTGTGTGAGTGGAGGTGGTGGGTGGATGGATGATGATAGGATGGGAGGATGAATTAATTAATTAATGGTAAAATGAATCAATGGAAACGGGGAAATTCGAACGAAGAATCAATGGCAATCCGACAGAGCAGACACCGAATTTCAACCAAATCATTGATAGCTCAGAAATCGATCATAATGACGGAATCGATTTGAAGATAGCACCGTTCAGCGGTAGCTGCCGCTTCAAGCCACCGTGCGAAACACAAAAAATGTATGCTTTCATGAATCCCATCAGTCGGGAGCATCCAATAGCTCTCTCTGAATCCATTGTCGTCACTCACAACTTCAACGAGGATGCTCCGTCCCGGAGATTCGATTCTGTCGACTTACGTCCAACCTTTCAGAATAAATACTTTAAATATTACTCTAGGACTACCTAGAACCCGCGGGCGGTTCACTTATTGCCAACGACAAACAAATATCGAGGATGGTGACGCTCACAGCAGCGACTGTTCCCACGCATCCATCCTCAAATGACTCTCTTCACTCTCGATGATGCTTTTCGGAAATCGTCCTCCGACCTCTTCCCGTCCGGACCGGAGGAGGATCATCGGACTCGATGGGACGCTACAGCGATTGCGTTGGTGCGTAGCCATCCTGCCCCTTGACTTGGCCTGATCCTCGTCTCACGGGCCGCGTCAACGCCCGCAAAGTCGGGAGCGCCTCTGATTCGTGCCCCCCCACTCCTTCGTCCGAACTCTCTAGACTATCGACTGGCAGAATCCAGTGAAGATTTTCGAGTGATCCTCCTTGAAGAACGATCCCGGACTGATTGAGCTATCTGTGTGATGCGACGGGCACCATTGCTGCGCTGGACAGTCGCACAATGTGTCGGAGTTCACCTCATCGACGACCCGTCGCTTTTTGACGGTGAATAGTCGACAGGGTTCCGAAGGTTGGCACTTTTGTCGCTGTAAACGAAACAAAAACTCGAATTAGAAAGGTTTAGAAGCTCGATCGCGCACGACGGCCGTTAAGCGCCGCCGACTTCGCGCTCGGACGTCCGAGACCGTCGCGAGGGCACTGTCACAGCGGGGGAAGGTGCGAACACCGTGTTGGATACTTACAACTTGAGGGGAACAAGCGAACGAGTATTTGAAGTTGACTCCCGACGCGGTGGGAACTAGTTCATACTTGGCCAGATAGGCCACTGCGCTCTTCGGACAGGTGCAGTGTAGCGTTTGTTGGGTGTGATTCGAGGCGGTCTGCTCGATGGTCCACGTCGCGTCGCGGAAGAATCTGCATTCAGGAAGCTTCTTGACAGGTTCACAAGTCTTATACAGACGGCTCTTGTCGGCGACCGTGTGACCGTCGGCGGAGTCGACGGATTTCGAGCACGTTGTCCTAGCTGGGCAGCGACATTGGCGTTCTACCCAAGGCGTTGAGTAGACGTCGACCTTATTACAGACTTGCATGGCTGAGCACTCTGGGAGATCCGCCTCGGAGTTCTGCAAGGAGTAGAAAAAGAGACATTGGTTAGAGACCGGGCCGTGAACTCCGAGCAGAAAAATCTATCTACGGCTGGTTTTTCAGGGGTGGGAATTGTGGTGCCTTAGAAAGCGATGCGGTTGTGGTGGCAGCTTATATGTAAGTATTCGGAAGCGCCGACTGACGGTACCGGCGGGGACGGCCAACGAAACTGAGCCGCTGCGGACGTAAACCGCGAGACCAGATGCGTTCACACACAAAGTATACACAGGCTTTCCGGCCTAGACGGCGGCCGGCGGAGCATGCGAACAGGTTGACGGGCAGGTTGCTTGCTCTGTCGGTCGGTCGGTCGCTCACTCCTCCTTACACTTGCTAGCCGTAGCCGCTTGTCGAGCGACCGAGTGGCGGAACAGGTAGTACGCTTCGGCGAAGTTCTTCTCTTCAAGCACAACGGTGACGGCGACTGCTCCACTACTTCTACTATTACTGCGGATATCTTCAGCGACCGAAAGCCAGTGTGGAGTCTGCCGCAACGTCTGGCTCACTAATGAATCTCCCGTTTGAGCCGTCCAAGGGACCAAGAAAAGATGCGAGCGACCGGGAGAATACCACTACCTGCATCAGTGGCCATGCCGCGACCGCCTGCCTTTCGGTCTGTCCGCCGGCCAGCGGCCTGCCTGCCTGACCGGCCGACTTACTGGCCGACATCGCAGGAAATCATCCACGGGAATCTGTCCCGACGACGTGCCGCCTCCCATGAGTCCACTCCCGGCGGCTAGCGGTGGCCACCGACAACAGAATCGCTACGGGCACGTCGAAGATGGGGATCATGGCCCGATCGCTCGCTCGCTCGCCCGCTTGATCACCGTGCAAGGTGCACTGTATTGTCCGGCGAATCCATTCGGCTGCCGCGATCCTCTTCGAGCAGGTATTGCAGATCTGGCTCTGACCGAGGGGCCGGAGCTGACGAACGAGCCGGTTTCTGGGGGCTATCGAGCTGGAGAGCAGCGAACGCACCATTCATTGAGTCAGTCAGTCAGTCATTCATTGATCTCAGTGGTCGAGGTGACGGTGGTGGCACCTCTCTGTAATTCTCTTAGCCAGCCAGCGAGCGGGGAAAGCAAGCAGTCAGTCAGCGCATATGGGACCGAAGAGAAGGAGGCGCCCTGTGGATAGAGAAGCAGAAGGAGCAAGCCCGCCAAGTAACACAGGTGTTCGAGAATAGAAGTGATCACCACCACCGCCGCCGCCGCCGCTACCACCAGATCCACTATTACTACCAGCACGACCGCGAGCATCACGAGAGGAACAGTATGCTGAAAACTGATTCAAAAATTTCGGATTTCTTCATTTCCATGGAGGCGCGTTGAATCTTCGGCTTGCTCGGGAAGAGCTCCCGCGTCCCCTGCTCCGCGGTCCGCAGGCCTCGCACCTTCCTCGGCCATGGTCAAGGAGTTGACTTCTCGATCGGCTCGTGGAGAGCGATGGATCCGCTCATCGGCCTGCGCGGAGTCGTCATTGGACTGGAAGCTTTCACCGCGCGAGCTCTCGGCGTATCGTCAACTCATGGGCTCGCTCTTCAGGAATAGGAACCGAATCTCTCCGGTTGAATAATTGCCGAAACTGGAGATAGACTCGCGGTATCTCGTCGGGTCCTCGGTTGGACCTATGCAAGCTTTTCGGGGCTCCTCATTTGGATTCATCACGCGTAGACTTCAACGTCAGCTCGGCACGCGGTGGCAGCGGCGGCAGCCTTGGCAGTCGTACGGCGGCCGACGGCGGCGGCGCATTGAGCCGAGAGGAGAGGCGGCGAGCGAACGTCGAACGAACGCTTCTCTACCGCTGGCGTTCATTCATATTTTGATGAAATGTTCTGATACGCCGAGGCGCCGGCTACGCTACTATCATCGATTCGGGCAGAAGCGTCCGCGGCGGCACCGAACGTCGATTCAGGAGCAAAATTCTTCGCTCGCTCCCATCAATGCGACTTTCGACGGTTCTTCGGTTGGACCCTCTACTTCGCCATCGCTCTCCTTCGGCGACTCCAGAAAGACAGCTCACGAGAGGCAAGGAAGCAGCCGGATATTCGACTCTGGCCATCCAGTCGGCCTGGCAGGCATGCGGGCCGCCGCGGGGGCAACCAAAGAACCATCGTCGATATCGATAACGAATTCCAGAAGCGGAATCTTAGCGTACAAGTGAACCCATTCGACCGAAGAACATCCGAATGAACATCATCCACATGCGGATCGTAATTACGCAATGTTTTCGGCTTGTTGTCGAGTCGATGGAAAATCCAGTAGTCTGGTTGTCCCGCTAGCGCCTCGGGAGAAGAGCGGAGTTCGGAGAGGTGTCACGAGCCCGCTCGGTTCTTTCAGGACGAAGGTCCTGACCTGACGCTGAGAAGAATCCATCCGTATCGCGAAGAAAAGGACCGACGAGAAAACTGGAGTCTCCGCAGACTCGGACGTTCAGGAGTACGTGTCGCGTACTCCGCCTAACAATGAGAGTAAATGAAGTCGCAAGACGAACGATGATCGATGTACTCGCTCCGGTCACTGCCGATGCTTCTGTACCAAGATCACAGGAATCTTCGAGGCGTTCGGCCGAAATCGTATGCCGCATCGAAAGGTCGTGACTCAGACTTCGGACTAGAGGCTTCGGGTCGTTTCGAGCGGATTCCACCACGCAACTGTGGACTCTCATGAGCCATCATCCGGACAGGAGAATCGAGGAATCCACTTCTTTCCCATCTCAGTTCCATCGGAGCTCATTCCACCGGCTTCGGGATTTCCCGAGAGATCAACGACGCCGACGGTTTTTCGGACTCGTGGGGGATCTTCGGTCTTTGCGATTCCCCTCGGATCGTGCGTTTTATTTGAACTGCATGATTTTTCATGGGCATGTCTCATTGCCGGTTGCTTGTTTCCTGTTCTCTCCGAGCGTCGAGAGATGACTGATCACCGAGCGGCAGATATCGTGCTAGCCACCTAGCTGTGAATGTCGCTTCGTGTTACCGTTGCTGCTCTGGCTTAGCTAGGTATGTGTCTGTCTGCGTGGCTGGCCAACTGGCTGGCTTACATGGCTACATGCGTGCATGGATGCATGCAAGCAAGCAAGCGAGTGAGTGAGCAGAGAAAACCCTCATTGATAACCTTCATGGAAATAGCAAATTCAAGCCTGTCGTTGGAAGCCGGCTGCTTAGCATGTTCCTCTGGTCCGCGCTTCATGATGATGGAGTGGTGTTTGGCGCCGTTGGAGAGCGCCACAAGCTCCAAAGCTAATCACGCTGCGCCCCGGCTCGAGGTGATTGCGTCTCGAGACCGAATCCACTGATCTCCTCTCAAGGAAGACCTCTGAATGATCTCGGTCAGTTCACTTCGGAGCTGGAGAACGAGTTCCGGACTTGGAGTGGTCGCGCTCCCTCCGGCGGATCTCCCTCGTATCAGGACTCTGCTGTACAGGAGAAGCGGCGGCGGCGGCGGCAAACTCCGATCGCAAATCGTCTCACGATGCAGGAGAGTAGAGAGCAGCCTGAATGCTACTTTGTTTCCTCTGCGGCTGCTGGCAGCCTGTTCCCTCTCTAGCTGTTAGCTTTCTCTACTTTCTACAAACGGTGGACGGACAGACGGACAGACTTGCTCGGTTGGTTGCTTGGATGGTGAGCGACGGAAGACAGGTTGAGCTCAATGGATGAGTGAAAAACACCAAGAGAAGGCTCACTGAGGCCCGATCCCATAGGCAACCCGTTCTCATAGGTGACCTTGAGCTGCGCCCGCGGCAACCAGCCAGCCTGGTTGCTCGACCGCTCGGTTGGTTGGTTGCTTGGCTGACTGCAGAAGGAGGAATCCCAGGCGAGTGAACGAACGTTTTTAGCTCCATCTACTTCCTGATCCTTCCTCCTGCTCAGACCAGCATGTACGAACCAAGCAACCAGTCAGCCAGCCGGTGCATCACCGTTCATCACATTGCCGCTGCTCGTGCTCCCGCCACAAACGCGGCGGCTGCTAAAAGATGCCGGAGTCACTCAATGGAAATAGCAAGTGGACGTTTCCAGTCAGAATGAAGAGGAGATACGATGATTTCAAGCGATGAATTCGCCTATTCAATAAGCCCGATGCGATCCATGGCCGGTCATCGTGCGATGAGTCCCACCGCCGACCCGAAAGCCCTTCCGCGCATTAACAAGCTTTCTTGGCTCGTTATACCTGCGCCGATTCGGACGTACATAGGTCGTCCGGGGGAAGGGAGAACACATGGCCATTTCATTTGTCAGGACTCATGTCGGCCACAACTTGAAACAATCCAGATCGGGCATGAACATGAGACGAGCTCATATCCGCAGCTGGTTCTGGCGATCGAGAGTGAGAACCTGTGTATAACCGAGCCCATGCGGGCCGTACATCTTCCGCGTTGTCTCTGAGACCCATAATTCTCCAGAGAACCCCCGGATATCGGTATCGATCTAGGGGAAAGAAAAATCGAAAACGAACTACGGAACGTAGGGGCGGTGACTTACCCCATTCTGATAGAATACGCGCATCGCTGCCGTATACCGCTGCCGGATTCGGGCGACCACCGCTGCTTGTCGCAGCAAGTCCTGCGTTTTGTACATGTGGAGAAGCTGGGCGACAGTTGAAGGCAATGCGGTCGAGGGACTCACGCGGTTCACCGTTCGCCGGAATCCTGTGGTGATCGACGACGGCATCGGAGTCGTCGCAGGACGAACTGACGACTCGCGCTCGCTCGACAATCTCGACTTGAAGGACGAGCTGATAGTCTTTGAAGTGGTTTTGTCGGTGCCGATCGCGCTTCCCGAGGACGAACTCGGAGTTGATGTCTCGGAGATGGACGACGTTCCGACAGGAACTGACGCCGTTGTTGAAGGAGAAGGTCTCGATTGCTTAGACGTTGATGATGGTGTCGTTGTAGACGTCGTCGTCATCGTAGAAGTTGCCGTTGTTGTCGTCGGGATGGGATCACGTATCGTGGACGCGGTTTCCGTTCGAACTGAACTCTCACTCGATGTCGTCGTGGAAGCACTCACTCTTTCGACTCCTGTCGTGATCGTTGGGCTCACACTCGTGCTGGTCGAGGGAAGATCCGTTCCAGCAACTTCGATTATCGCTGGACCGAAGGAGCTAGTATCCATCTTCGGTACTGCTGTCGTTGTTTTTGCTTCTGAGGACTCCGGAATCCTCGTCGTTTGCTCATGATCTGAGCTCTCAGACGCTTGGGTCTGCATCGGAGCAGGAAGAGCTCCGGTGGACGTAGCCGCTGCGACAGCTTCCGTCGCAGCCTCCGTTGCGGAGGAAATTGAGATATCTTCCGTCGCAGCTGTTCGGACGTCTTCAGCAGGGTGCATTTCTACGGCGACCGTCTCTGTAGTCGCGGGCGACGACGTTGCTGCTGCTGCTGCAGATATCCGTTCCTGAGACTCTGTCAAGGTTACGGTATAGTAGGGAAAACTCTTCATTGAAGTTTCACTCGGCGACGAGGCCGGATGAATGGGGGTCCTCACGAGGATGACGTCCTCGGTGCCGACTATGATTTCGGGATTGCTGACAGCTTTCGCCGCGGTGTTGGCTGCAGGCACGGCCGTACATAGGACGAGGGCCAAGCCGACGAAGACAACGTGGCCGGTCATCGCATCTCCTGGCACTCCACGTGGAGGGTAACGATCCAAAAAAGTTCTCGCGCGTTCAAGTCACAAACAACTAAAGCGTCAACAAAGTCGAGTCGTTCCTCGAGCTCTGATTTCGATTCGCGTCGTCGCGAAGAAGCTGCTCTATGCACTCGGCCACTGTCACTGTGATCGCTGTACGGGACACGCAGTCATTGAAACACATAACCAGCTCGTTCAGAGCGCCATCGGCTTCAAGATCGTCGCACAAAACGTAGTGGTTCACTGAGACTCTCTGACGCGAGGTACGAGGTATCGATGGGTAAAGTTCAGGCGAGACACAGAATGAGCACTCCAACGAGATGGCACTGCCCGCCAACGCTCACTGGGGAACTACGGTCCACGAGCTAGGTCTTCACGAAGAGGCCTGCTTCAGTCCGTCCATGTCTTGCACGCGAGCGAAAAACGTCGGCCACCAAAGGCACAGTTGCCGCCGTTATTGCTAGCGCTCTTCGTCTCGACGTCCGTGTCTGACGACCGCTCGTTCTTTGACTGACTGAATGACTGACTGGCTGTAAGAGTGCTTCTAGTGGTGCCTGCAGGCTTCTAGCGACGGCCCGCCGCTCGCAGAAGTTCTCTCCTCTCCGGACCACCCCTCTCCGCACCTCCTCTTCGAAAAAATCACCGGCGAAACTACCAGAGGGAGAAAAAGAACAGCAGCAGCGGCAGCAGCAGCAACGACGACGACAAGAATATCAACCGGACCAATAAGAGAACGATGCCATTCACTTCAACTTCGGAGCGGGATTCGAAAAGACGTGGGTAAATTGACATGGTATGCAGTACGCTGTGAAGTTGACCGAACACCTTCTCGATCGATCATTCGAACACGTCTTATGCATCTGATCTTCGACGGCACTCTTCTCAGTATGCAGCCTCTTGGCGGACCGTTCCCGACCTCAGTCTTTCAAGCGAATAAATCAAAGCATGACACGGTACCGTCGAGAACTTCAAATAGTCGTCACGATTGTCCTAAATGTCCCATCGCTGTGGGCTCAGCGAATCAAATCAAACTTGTGAGATCAATTATTCCTCCGTATCGTTCCAGCAGAGCTTCCGTCGTGCGTTCGAATTCAGTCCCCGATGTCCTTTCGCTTGCAGAAAGTCAGGGCTCAGCATTTGACGTAGGAAAATTTGAACCCTATGCGTGCACTGACTCTCTGAGCCTCCGAGCTGGACATTCGGGAGTTGCATTTTCCCCACCGTTCGGAATCACGAGCCTGGAGAATCATCTTACGTCTGAGTCTTGAAGACCATCCCAGAAAGCGTGATTTGCGATTCTTCTATGATTATGACTCTTTCGAATAACCGAAGCTGTGTGGACGGGAATCATCTGGGCTCACAGCCGCACTTGTAGCTAGTTCTCTCAGTCATCGCTCGATACCCCGATTTTTTGCTAATGTGAGCAGGGAAGGGAGTATGCTCCCCACGGCGGCCCGAAAAGATGAGCCAGAAGCTCCTCCGCCGCGCAGAAGAGGACCCACACCATCGAAAGAAACTTCAGAAACCCAGGGGGGAGTCGAGGTTCGAGACTGCTCCTTGAGGTGGCATACGGTGGAGTTTTCGTCCGCTTTCTTCATGTGTGTTCGGGAAGCGGAAACATAAAGTGTGGTTTGCACCATCATGCTCGCAGCGGCCTCGAGAATATGGAGGACAGTCGAAGATTTTATGTGTTTTGTATGCATGCCTGCATCTTTTATGCCCTTTTTATTATATTCCGAAGAGGGGGTTGGGGATGTTCGCAGTTTATAGTTCTCGGGTTATTTGTCACTATTAGAGCGAAACTGAGGATGCAATTGAGGGCGCCGGAAGATCTCGTAAATTCTCCCCTCGACGGCTGGGTTTCGCTGGCTCAATGATCAAAGTTTCCTAAGCCTCAGTGAGCATCTCGCGATAGCTCGAGCTCCGATCTCGGGATATTGACTCGTTCCAGATCGGTGTTCGAATGTTCATCGAGGTATGCCGCCGAGCAGGACCTTACGGGATGCGGGAATCGTATCGAGACGTTCTCCCTCACAGCCAACCTTCCCGTAGATCCACTGTTCTAAGCAAACTTTGGGACATAAGTGAGTCAATGAGAAAGAAGATGGAGCCGAACGAAGTCGAGCTCAGGGAGATACTATCCGCGAGAGACATCCCCGAAGACTCTCGTAAAGTTCGAAGTTCCGCGATCAACGTGAGAACATGGCTGGTGCCACAAAAGACACAAAGCAAGCCAGTAGAGTATTTTGTTGGCACTTTTAGTACCACGGTGCGTCCTTCCTGCGCTATAAATTATATGTCGCTCCAGCATCTGAAGACTTTCAAAGCTTGAGTTTGATTTACGCATTATCGATGCGGCCGCCGCCGCCACCGACCCTGCCGCTGCGTACTCACGCCCATCCGTAAAGAGTTCGACGACTAAGCAGTGTCCTGTCGTCAGCCCGCTTTTTCGCGATTGATGCGAGCTGCTGATGGTGACATATGGCGGCGTTGAGTCTGATGGCAAAGTCGTAAACTTTGTCGAAATTCCTCCCAGGCTTTGAGGAGACCTTGAGTTGAAGTTTTCGGCGCTTAACTCACGATGTCGACGACGACGACAACAAAAAAGGAAAGGTTGAAAAACTCCGAAAAGCCGTAAAGTGTAATTTAAAACGGTAAAGTCGGCTCGTTTCGCATCCATCTGGCAAGCATTCGTCCTCATTAGGCTGACTTATTCCTGCAGTGTGTTGCTTGCAAAAGCGTGATCCGATCGACTCGCCCGCATGGGATATCACTTCCCAAATTCTCCGTTGATTAGAGCGAAGGAGACGCGCTGAAAAAAAATTCCCGCTCGCGGAGCTACCGCAAGGCCTGGGGTTCCCCCAGCCTTTTTTCCCTTCCTCTTGACGCCCGACTGCGAATGACCCTTGTCGAAAACGACAAACGTGATGAGCTGCCTTTCCCGCGTTCTCCGTGCGGGAGCATAAGAGAACGAGAGGAATGAAAGTGAAAAGATCCATTAAAAACCTTAGCCTTCCGGAGAACTCATTGAGCTTGAGTTCGTGGGCGGGCGCATTTGTTTGTTCTAACACGGTCCTCGATGAAAGCATGGTCGTAAGGCTCGTCTTGCTGTTCCATGGACCTCCGAGGAGGCGGCGTCGTCCGCTCAATAACACTGTGCCAACACATGTTTTCTTGCCTTGGAAAAATCGTTCATGGGGATTTTTTCGATCGAGAAGCCGCTGAACAGATTTCCTAGCCGAACGTGACATCAAACGAACCATCCAGTCCTCACAGACAAACTTTGTCTTGCTCGTTCACACACCTCGGCTTGGTGGTCCTCCTCTTATGTTTTTTTTCAGCGGAATTTCGTCCGAGCTGAGCTTCTCGTTACGACTCATAATGACAGCAAAGGCGGTCCTGGTTTCATTCACACCTACGCGCATCGTCGCGCTTCGTGAACGCATCTACACTTACGAGCAGCGATAACAAACAGCATTACCCGAATGAAACCACGGACCACTGCCCACGACTTGTTGGTGCAGACGGACGGAGGGTGGAAACTTTCTAAAAGCCCATCACCTTTCCCCTCACTTCCGTTAGCAAAAATCATGTTGCTCTTCAAATAAGTGGAGCTCCAAAGACGTGCCGATGAAGCGTCGGAAATCTCTCTCCGAAGTTATACCCAGAGTCGGCTACTCACTTCGATCTGCTCCAGGATCTGTAGGGGGGGAAACGCGAGAACCGAAAAAGTTTTCCCCTGCTCTTACGGAACGAGTAGGATTTTCTATCCCGACGGTCTCAGTTGTTGTACCGAGCTGTCAGACATGGGAAATCCCGCTCCGGTTGTCGCCGCCGCCACCGCTTGTGTGTACCTACACACTAGCAGTGATGGTGTGGTGATGCTGCTGCTGCTGCTGTTCTGTCGTCCTCAATGACATGAACATGTGTTACTTTGATTAATGACCGTCGAGAAGATGAAGAGGAAGACCCGGACGGATGGATGACGCCACTTGCTTGGTGCCACTAATCTCCGATCGCGGATGTTGTTTGTGCTACGCGGGAAGTACTAGGAAAACGCACTCTGCTCTCCAACGGACAAACGACCGAACGAACGTCCGCTTTCCAGGGTGCGAGACGGCCGACCCAGCGCACATAGGGCGCAGGCTGAGACAACAGTGACTCCCGACATCACAGTACAGCGCGAGCAGACCTCGCCCATTGCAGTCTCCATGACGGATGCTTACTCCGACGTACGGAGAAGTTCTGTTTCCGGTAGCAGTCCTCTGATGAATTCGGAGCATCTCGGAAGGAGCTCAATGGGACCCGCTTTAGTGCTTTTCACTGTCCGAGTCAGTCTGGCGCCTTGAGCAAATCACGGTTTCAGTAACTTCACAGCGTTCTCCGAAGGATCGGTCAGTCGCTGTATTACCGCCGCTGCTGCTGCTGCATGTAATCCCATCAAGAGATGTTATCGCGTAGTCGCTGATCCTACCCACCTCGCCAGTCGTATTATAACAACAGCTTCCTTCCTGTAAACAGGCCGAAACCGGAGATCGGAGCCGACCGGTGCGCGGTCTCGAATGAACGCTTCTTATCCGAATCAGCGACTTCAATGGCGAGATTCGGCAATTGAATGATTGCTCACGGAGGAGCGTTTCTCTTTTTCGCTTACGCTCCCGTCGAAGAATGGACAGGTAAAGCAATAGTGTCGGCGGGAGTTTGTGCGTCGCGCCGCTAAGGACGAATTTATGAGTTTATGGCTTTTACGAAAGAATTCGATCGCTCGAAAACGCTGCGAATGCTCCGGATTGGATTGCTCAACTCGAGGGAATTGAATTGAAACGCCCGGACTGATCTTCTTCGACTTCTCTCGGTGTCGGGTCTTTGTTACCGTCTGACACGTTTCAGAGTCTCTTACGGGAGTCTGATCGATTGCTCCTTGTGGGTAAGTAGGCAGATAGATAGGTATATCTTCATTCCATGATCTAATTTGAATCATT